AATGAAGGTCCTGAAATTCATACTCCATTCTCGTTGTTACAGTCAACTGTTCTTTGAAGAGACAGTTCTTGAGGGGCTCATCTTCTAACTCTATATCTGACAATATTCTGGTGGTATTTATCATGTTTCAATATGCAGTTATCTGCTATCTGACAATAGTCCACTGTTATTCTTGAGATTCTTAGTGGCTAAACATTCAGAAGTAATCCACCTTGCCATTCTTCCTAGTCTGTCTTAGTCTGAAAACTCAGCTGCAACCTTTCCACCATGGATGTACCCTGCTGGTATTTAAAATACTGATGGTCTACTGTCCAGCATACAGCAGCACGCAAGCCATTACAATACAACAAATGGACAGATGAGAGGTGGTATTCTGTCATATAGGGCCACTGTGAGTCGAAAGCAACTGGACGGCACACAACAGTAACAACATACCATTGTATAAATATATTCAGTGTATCCATTCTATCAGAATACATTTCTGTTGTTGCTAGGCTTTGACTATTAATAAGATGCTGCCATGAACGTTAGTGTACATTCCGAATCAGTGTGAGGATGGGGCTTCCAAGGAGGAGGAAAAGTCATGACAATCATACTTTGCTAAGATCAGATGAGATAATGAAATAAAGCACTTAACACAGAGCCTAGACAGTTGGGAGTGGGCAATAAGAATTGCTATTATTGCCTTTTCAACTCCTGGCCTGCTACTGGAGGATCGGCACTGGACTTTAAAACCACAGGGTCGGCAGTTCAAACCCACCAGCTGCACCTCAGAAATCCTATACACTATGAGTCACTATGAGTCGGAATTGACTTGACAAAACTTAACAACAATTGCCTTTATAAAGTCCTGGTGTGGCGCCATTGGATAACCACTGGCCTGTTAACAAAAAGGTCAGCAGTTTAAGCCCACCATCCTCTCCTCAGAAGTCCTATACAGGGTTGCTATGAGTTGGAACATATTGGACAGCACTTAACAACAACAACAACAACATTGTCTTTTCATTGTAATGGTCATGTAAGGTAAAGCCAAGGATGATTAAGAGTTATACAAGTTTATTAACAGAAAAAAACAATGCAAACTAAGTCATTTTCCTAATGCCAGGCATGAAATGAATACCTCGTACTGTTTTTCTTTTTACTTTACCACCCCTTTTGTTTCACCTTTTATTTCTATAGTTAAATCTCTATATTTAAACAAAGAGTTCTCCCGGTTAGGATGTGAAGCAGAGGATCAGAGGAAAACAGGCCAGGAAGGTGATTATTGTGACATTAACTTTTTTTTTTTTAATGTTTTATTGTGAATTATGTGATAGTTTACATGGGAGAACATTAGTTTTACATTCATTCTATCAAATATCCTCTCATTGCCATGGTTACAATCCCCTCCATGCAATCCTTCCCCCATACCCCCCAGGTCTTCAGCACACAGTTGCTCTCCCTCTCTGTATCTAAAGTCTCCAGCTGCTCCATCGTTCCACGTCATCATCTCTGGCTCCATTTCAGGCATCACTGCTTCTCTGGGTAGGGTCCCGCTCTCTGCTCTTCTCCCTTGATGGTCCTAGGGACCTCCGCTCCTAGACTGAAAAGCTAATCACTCCCCTTCTTGCTATAAAACGTCTACCTTTACATTTCCGACCCTCACAAACAGTCCTGATAACAATTATTCACTATTGTATCACAAGAGACCCGTCTGTATTTCATTGTATCAGCTCCACCTAGTCAGATTGAATACTACTCACTGGAGATTCTACCTTCCTCCAGGCCCTCTGGATCTAGGTTCCCTCTTGAAAGCTTGTAAACCAGTCACTTCTTGCCTTTGTAGCTCCCCACCCCCCATTTTGGGTAGCCAATGTCCAAGTTGCCCATCCCTGTCTACTCTGTGTGTAGAGGGGGTGGGAATGATTCTTGTTGTAAGGACTTGTTCCCTCTTTTGAGCTACTGCTTCCATAGGTGTAGGTCAAGTTCATCAAATTGTATGAGAATACTTTTTTTTTTCCCTCTTCTTTTTACTTCTGGTTGAGCTCTGATCATCCAGTCACTGAGGCCAGGACGAGTGGGTATTATCTGCAAGTGTGGGTGTTCTTATGCATATGCCTTATCTTCTTATCAGCTGGACGCTTCACTCTCCACTCTAGTCCTCTGTGGCTATGTCACTGACTCTGGGCCCAAGAGTCCCCAGGTCTTGCCACACTGCTGGCTAACCAGGTCTTCACCCAGGTTCACAGAAGTCTATTGAACGTTGTAGGGCTTAGCTCACCGCTTCATTGCTGTTTTTCCCTCACTTCCCCTTATCGATGTCGAGCGTGGTCACCAATCACAGCATGTATTCCCGTTGAGTCTTAGTCTTGGAAGGGGGTTTGCACTGAGGGGACCCAACCACTTGCCTTGATGTTGAGATTAACTTTTGCATCCGTTTTAACTTTGCTGTTGTTGTTAGGTGCCGTCAAGTTGGTACTGACTCATAGCATCCTCATGTACAACAGAAGGACACACTGCCCGGTCCTGTGCCAGTCTCACAATCATTGCTGCTTGAGCCCATTGCTGCTGCCACTATGCCATTCTACCTTGTTTGGTGTCTTCCTCTTTTTCGCTGACCTTCCACTTTATCTAGCATGATGTCCCTCTCCAGGGTCTGGTCCTTCTTGGTAATATGTACGAAGTATGAGAGATGAAATCTGGCTATCTGGGTTTCTAAGGTATATCTGGCTGTACTTCTTCCAACACAGATTTGTTTGTTCTTCTGGCAGTTCATGGTACTTTCAGTATTCTCCTCCAGCAGCATAATTCAAATGCATCAATTCTATAGTCTTCCTTGTTCATTGTCCAGCTTTTACAAGCATATGAGGCTACTGAAAATACCATGGCTTGAGTGAAGTGCACCTTAGTCCTCAAACTGATACCTTTGCTCTTGTATATTTTAAAGAGGTTTTATACAGCAGACTTGCCTAATGAAATACGTCATTTGATTTCCTGAGTGTTAATGGTTGATACAAGCAAAATGAAGTCTTTTGACAACTTCAATCTTTTCTCCATTTATCATGATGTTATTTATGGATTCAGTGGTGAGCATTTTTGTTTTCTTTACATTGAGGTACAACTCATACTGAGAGCTGTGTCTTTGAGCTTCATCAGTATTTTAAGTCTTCCTTATTTTCAGCAAACAAGGTTCTATCATCTGCTTATCTCAGGTTGTTAATGAGTTTCCCTCCAATCCTGATGTCACGTTCTTCATATAATCTAGCTTCTTAGATTATTTACTTAGCATACATACTGAGTAAATATGGTGAGAATACCACCCTGGCACACATCTTTCCTAATTTTAAACCATTCAGTGTTCCCTTGTTCTGTTTGAACAAATGCCTCTTTAGTCTATGTACAGGTTCTTCAAGAGTACAATTAAGTGTTCTGGAAGACTCATTCTCTGCAATGTTGTCCATAACGTTAACTTTAGGGCATAGGAATATTGTCTTAGGTGTTTGTACATCTGGCTTAGATTACTCTTTGTCCCAAGCCTTCTTAATAATACCTAACACTTTTGATTGAATACAATCTGGTTCTGTGTTAAGGATTGTAAAGAGCAGAGAACTCAATCACCTCTTTCTGATCTTGTAAGAATGCAGCTCCATGGTTCCACAGCTTCCAAACTGGAATTGCTGTAAAGATGATAGTTGCTAAGGAGAAACCCTGATGACTTTTATGAGAATGTGCAAATATTGAGATTGAAAAATTGATATTGCAAACATCCAGCACTTATCACTGTATAGATCAGTGTAAGTTCTAGATCTCTGGGTTTATGGGAATGATCATTTCAGTATCAGTCCAGAAAGCTAGTCCATTTTGCAGCCACAAAAAAAAGGAGGGAAAGTAATACCTCCTACGCCTGAAAGGGTTTCCTAATTCTAAACAGAAATATATTTCAAAATTATTTTTTAACTTTTAAATTTTGAAATAATTTCAGACTTACAGAAATGTTGCAAAAATTGTACAAAGAAATTGTGTCTAGTCTTCACACAGATTTCCCAGATAGCAACACTGTGACACATTTGCTTCATTCTCTTTCTCTCTGCCCACATGTACACATGTACATATATGCACATACTCCCCACCGCCCCGAAAATTATCTGAGAATAATTTTCACGCACCATGCCTCTTTACTTTAAATGCGTCACTGTGTACTTCCTGAAAACAAGGGCACTCTCTTCCAGTAAAGTTATCAAATAAAGAACGTTAACAACAGTGCATTTGTATTAATATGCTGGCTATTCAAATATCCTAAGTAGTCCCAGTAATATCCTAAATAGCAAATGAAAAAAAGTAGGGGTGGGGAAGGGGTAACCAGAATTCAATCCAAGATCACATGTTGTATTTAATTACATCTCTCTTGGTGGGGCACTGGACCACAAGGTCTATTTGAACCACAAAGTCAGTGGTTCAAACTCACCAGCTGCTCCTTGGAAACCCTATACAGGGTCACTCTGAGTAAGAATTGACTTGATGGCACTTAACAACAGCAATAACTTAATAACAGCAATCAATAACAAAATACTTCAATGGATCTTAAAAATCCTTCTTTTAAGATTTCATATTTGCTTTCCTTTCAATTAGATATAATCAGTTGAAGGATTCAGAGGAAAGAAGATCCTCTTCTAGAATATTTACCTATATTTATGTGAAGGACGGATGAGTGGTAAATGCAGTTTGAACAAATATGCTAAATTATATTGATTATATACAAGACAAACTAATAATTTAATAGAATTTATCATTGATTGCATATAGGAGAAACTAAGAATTTTTTCCTGGCTTTTAGAAAAACACAGTAGAATGTGAGTCATAGTGCCTCTCAGTTTTGTTTGCTGACTGAGTGTTTAGTTCTAACTTGTCTGCCCTATAACCAATGAATGGGTGTTTCAGACCCCCATTCTGAGAAAGCAGACTGTGCATTTATTTTTTTTTCCTTCAGACAATGGTCACAGTAGCTGCACTTTCTTTGGCAGATGTGGTGCTGGAAAAAGCTATGCACAAGTGCATCTTGAAACCCTTGAAGGGACACGTGGAGGCCATGCTGAAGGACTTCCACATGGCAGACGGCTCATGGAAACAGTTGAAGGATAACCTACAGCTCGTACGGCAGAGGAACCCACAGGAGCTGGGGGTCTTTGCCCCGACCCCTGATTTTGTGGATGTGGAGAAAATCAAGGTCAAATTCATGACCATGCAGAAGATGTATTCACCAGAAAAGAAAGTTATGCTGCTGCTGAGGGTCTGCAAACTCATCTACACGGTCATGGGGAACAACTCAGGTAAGGGCCCTCAGGGTCCAATAACTGGGCCAAGACATGTCGGCCTTTAGGATTCCAAGCTTCCCTTCCTTTTAATTCTTGATTTCAATATGCAGCTCACAAAAATAGTAGTGATACTGTGATGTCTGGCAAGTTAGTCATATGCAACACATAAATAAGCCAAAAAACCAGCCCTAATTGTGACTCGTAATAATGCTATTGGACTGAGTAGAACTACCCCAGAGGGTTTCCAAGATTGATAGCTTTACAGAAGCACACTGTACATCTTTCCCTCAAAAAGATGCTAGTTGGTTTCAAACTACCAGCCTTTAGGTTAACAGCTGAGCACTAAACTACAGCCTCCCCAGTGTTCCTTAACATGCAAATAACTCCAAATAAAGTAAGTGGAAGACAACACGATTTTTGTACAATGCCAATTCAATAAAAAACTTAGAAAAAAAATTAGTGCATGGTTTTGGTTATGAATTTAATCTCTTACAGTCTGATTTCAAACCCTTTGCTCTTTGAGTTAATTGAGTAACTATGAGTTTTGCCTCATTAATCAGTCTTCTATGCTGCAGTTTCTGCATCTATAGTCAGATGTGACACTGCCCTTCATAAGGTGGAGGCTGGATGAATCAGTACATGCATAGCACCAAGCGTGATGAAAGTACTAGCTATTATTACACTTTGGCCAAGAAGGATCATGTCAGTGATTTGTAGCATATGTCAGAATATTGGAGTATTCAGTATTAATGCCATTTCTGTAGCGCTCTGGGCTCTCCCTTTTACTACAACAAGGAGTTACAAAGTTGGAAACTAGGCACTCAGATTTTCCGTGTGCTATTTCTTATAGCTTCATAAGTCACCATGATTCACAGGTATTGAATGTGCCTCACATTGCTCCAGATCTTCAGCAACTCTGTTGTAATTCCATGGACTGCTAACAACTTTTCCTCCAAGTGAAGTTGTTTTTTAGAGAAGTAGCAGAGAGAATACACAAGCTCTATTAACCACTGCTTTGGTAGATTGCAATATGTGAAATACGCACTTTATCAAGTGTTGAGTGACAGTATCAGAGTGTGAGCTCTTGGGTGAGCATTCACAGCACAGGACAGTGACTCTGAAATGTGCACATTTCACATACAACAAATATATTTTCTGTAATTCACAATATGATTTCTAAAAGTTCCTGACATATTATCTGCTGAAGGGTGTGTTCTTTTAAAGCAGGGTTCTTCAGCCATGGCTCTATAGGCATTTTAAACCAGACACTTTGCTATGGGGGCTGTCCAGTGCATAGTTGAAAGTTTAGCAGCATCCATTTGCATCCCCACCCTGCAGTCATGGCAACTGAAACTGTTTCCAGACATTAAATCACTCCTTGTTGGGAACCACTGCTCTAAAGAAAGCTAGAAATTAGGACCAAAAATGTCTGCCATATACTGCAAATACAAGAAGGTGTGTTTTTCACCTTTTTGAAGTCCCCTCAGATATACTGATTAATTAATAATCAACGTGTATTCAACATAATCTGAATTGGCACACTTAAATTAATTGCTTTCCCATTGAATATAAACTATATTTCCAGTTTAAGTTTGATCTTATTAATTATTATGTTTACAATTAATTTGCACTGAAAGCAATTACAAACAAGGCACAAAGAATTAGCAAATAGGTATTTTATAAATGCTTTATAATATTATATCATTATATACTGAAATATTAAAATGTACTTTATGTTCTATTGCATAACATAATACAAATCTGAACATAGAAAGAACATTTTTTATCTGTTAATTCACTCGCAGGCACTCATTCTAAAATTGTAAATTAGGGTTGATTAAAGAAAAGGGCAGCTGAAGAGAGCTTATGGGCTGCATAGAATTACAGAAACACCCACCTCTGTTTATAAATAGTACATTTCCCCAGAATAACTGCTCACCACCTAATAAAAGCAACAAGTGGGCTATGAAAGAACGAAACATTGGTAAAAATGTTCCCATCTTCCCCTTTCCTTCTAATCCCAGGGAGGATGTATGGAGCGGATGACTTTCTGCCAGTGCTGACCTATGTCATAGCTCAGTGTGACATGCTTGAACTGGACACTGAAATCGAGTATATGATGGAACTCTTAGACCCATCGCTGTTGCATGGAGAAGGTAAAAGTGCCGTTAACTGTTGCATGGGAGGAGCTGGGTGCTTTTTTTTTGACATCTTAAGGGTAATTGGGGTGTGGTGCTGTATGATAAGCACTGGACAGCAAACTACAAGTCAGCAGTTCAAACTCACCAGCTGCTCCTCATAAACCCTGTACAGGGCTTGACCCATTGCCTGCTGATGGCACCACCTGGGCCTTGAACGGCTGCACGAGGCATCAAAGGTTTGATAATGGCCAAGAATAGACTAAGAGGGCAGAAGGCCAGGAGCGTATTTCACATAGCGAACCAAAAAAACTTTAAATCAAAAAACAAAGCAAAAACGGTTACCACAAATCTTAAGAAGATAAACATTGTGAATAATGAAAAAGTTACCAGAGTAAATAAAGCTTTTGTAGATATACAAAAGGAACTTGCGCATTTCTCCAAAGGCCTTTTCCTTGAACTGCTGAAGAAAAAAACGGATTCCTCAGCAGCAGCATGAAAACCAACTAGTCAATATGGCCGAGGCTACAAGATTAATGGCTCAGTTGTAATCAATGGTGAGATGTCAAATTCCCAAGGAAAAAAGACAAATAAATTTAATGTTATATAAAAAAAAACAACAACCCTGTACAGGGACACTATGAGTCAAAACCAACTCAGTGGCATTTAACAACAACAAGGGTTAATGTAGTAGTTTTAAAAATCACTTTTGCTGATTTTAAAAAAACGATTAAAAATTTAATAAGTGTTCATCATAGGAAAATTTGAACAATTGGAGAAACAAGGTATTCGTCATAGGAAAATTGAAAAAGTTGGAGAAGCACAAAGGAAAAAATGTAAACCTACCAGAATTATATTTTATTGAGACTGATGAATTGCAATAAAAACACCATTCATTACTATAAATGCCATGCTTTAAAAGAAAGAGCTTCTCTGATTCCAGGAGGAAGTTATAAACTTTTGTTAGCGAATACTTCCAGCACCAGACAATTACCCTCCTGCTGTGTCAGTGAAGCAGATGAAAGTCTGGCTTTTGCTTTCATCTATGGGGAGGGGGGAAGTTTTGTTTTCAACATGAAAAGAACATTTTTGTTTGTTTTTAAAAGTGCTGTTCATTGTTGTTGTTGTTGTTGTTAAGTGCTGTTGGGTCAGTTCTGACCCATAGCAACCCTGTATAGGGTTTCCAAGGAGCAGCTAGCTGGTGAGCTTGAACCACTGACCTTGTGGTTCAAAGCAGCTGATGAGCTCATTATTAAACTGAACCTTTCTTTCTTTCCTTTTTTTTTCATTGTTGAGACTATACACTGCAGAACATTCAGTAGTTTCTACATGATAATTCATTCACATTCATTTCATTTTTCTAGTTGTATAACCATTGTTGTCCTCCTTTTCTGAGTTTCTCTATTATTAATAAAAACTCAGTGCTCCCTAAATTTCCTGTCTAATCCATTGTGTGGCAGGGGTCACTTTGATCCCAGATAGATAGATCCTAAAAGAGCACAAAGCTCAAGGCAGACATTCTTTACTAGTTAAGCTGAACTATTGTCTGCTGGAAAGCGATATGTAAAAGACTGAAACAAGACCTTTGCCTCACACCCTATACAAAAAATGAACTCAACATGGATTAAAGATCTAAATGTGAATCTTAAAATTATGAATATAATCAATGAAAAAATAGGGATGAACGTGAGGGCGCTAATTCAGGGCATATACAGACTGCCACACATTTTGAAAAATACACAAACAAAAATAGACAAAATAGATGAGTAGGGCTTACTAAAATTTGAAAACTTGTGTGCATTAAAAGACTTCACCAAGAGAGTAAAAAGGGAACCCACAGACTGGGAAAAAATCTTTTGCAATGACATATCGGATAAGGGACTCATCTCTAAAATATATAGAAAAATACTACACATCTACAAAAACAAGACAAATAACCCAATCAAAAAATGGGCACAGGATATGAACAGACACTTTACCAGGGAGGAGATCCGGGCAGCCAACAAACATATGAAGAAATGATCACAATCACTAGCCATTAGAGAGATGCAAATCAAAACAACAATGACATATCATCTCACACCAGCAATAACAGCAAAGGTCAAAAAAGCTGAGGACAATAAATGCTGGTGGGGATGTGGAGAGACTGGGACACTCCTGCATTGCTGGTGGGACTGCAAAATGGTCCAACCTCTCTGGAAAGCAATATGGCACTTCCTCAAAAGGTTGAAAATAGAAATACCATACGATCCAGCAATTCCTCTACTTAGTATGTACCCACAAGAAAAGCGAGCCACAACACAGAAAGATATATGCACACCAATGTTCATAGCAGCACTATTTACAATAGCAAAAAGATGGAGGCAGCCAAAGTGCCCATCAACTGAAGAATGGATAAACTATTGACTGCTAAAAGAAGACTTAAAATTTAAGGATATTTCTGGTATAAGGTTTAAAAATTTTCTCAGGGCAATAGTTTCAAGGATTCATCCAGCCTTCATGGCACCAGAGAGTCTGGAGACCATGATAATCTGACATTTTGTCCTGAATTTTGCCTCTTTGGTTCAGGATTCTTCTATGAAATTTTGATCAAAATGTTCACTAATGGTAGCACCATCCAGTTCTTCCAGCCCCTGTAATTTCCCCTTTCCTTCCCACCTTGGTAACCACTAGTAAATTTTGATCTCCATACATTCACCTGTTCTTGTCTTTTTATATAAGTAAAGTCATATAATCCTTTTGTGATTGACTTACTTCATTCAACATAATGCCTTTAAGCTTCATTCATATTGTAGCATTTATCAAGGCTTCATTTTTCTTATTTGCTGAAAGTATTCCATTTCACATATATATTACATTTGTTTGGAGTCCTGGTATGGTGCTGTAGGATCAGCACTGGACTGCTAACCATAAGATCAGTGATTCAAATCCACCAGCCACTACTCAGAAACCCAATACAAGGTATCTGTGAGTCAGAACTGACTCCAAGGCATTTAACAATAACAGTAACCACATCTTTTTATACATTCATCATTGAGAGGCATTGACATGGTTTCCACCTTTTGCCTATTGTGAATAGTACTACAGTGAACTTTGGTATACAAGTATCTGTTCGATTCTCTGCCTTAAAGTCTTTGGGGTTTACACCTAGGAATAAACATAGGATAAGGACTGGACTGCTAGCTTCATTGTGGGAGAAAGATGAGGCTTTCTGTTTCGATAAAGATTTACAGCCTCGCAAATCCTACACGGGGTCACTATGAGTAGGATTCCACTCAGTGACAGTGGGTATGGTATTTTGGTTTATGGCAGTTTTATTTTTTGTCCTCTAAGGAACCTACCACATTGTTTTCCACAATAGTTATACCTTTTATAGCATGTTGGCTGTTATGTGACTCATAGCAACCCTGTTTCCAAGGATTTCCAAGGAGTGGCTTATGGTTAGCAGTCCAGTGCTTTTCCTACAGTGCTACACCAGGACTCCTTTATAGCATATTTGCTGTTGTTGTTAAGTGCTGTCGAGTCAGTTCTGATTCATAGCAACCCTGTATATGTTTTCCAAGGAGCTGCTGGTGAGCTTGAACTGCAGACCTGGTAGATCAAACTGACTTTGAGGTCCAGCACATTAACCCACAGTGCCACACCAGGCCCCCATACCATATAAGGATCCCAGTTTCCCCGCATCCTGGCCAACATTTGTTATTTTTTGTTTATAGTCACCATCTTTGTTGTTGTTGTTAAGTGCCATCAAGTCAATTCTGACCTATAGCGACCCTGTATAGGGTTTCCAAGGCACAGCTGGTGGGCTTGAACCACTGACTTTGCAGTTCAAACGACTTTACAGTCTGATACATTAGCCCACAGAGCCACACCAGGACTCCTCACCATCTTGTTGTTGTTTTATGCTGTGGAGTCGGTTTCAACTCATAGCAACCCTGTACAGGGTTTCTGAGGCTGTAAATCTTTATGGGAGCAGAAAGCCTCACCTTTCTCTCGCGGAACAGCTGGTAGTTTCAAACTGCTGACCCTGAGGTTCACAGCCCGATTTGTAACCACTATGCTACCAGAGCTCCTTGGTATTACTCTGATGACTAATGATATTGAGCATCTTTTCACATGTTTGGTAGACATTTTAATCTCCTATTTGATGAAATATCTCTTCAAATCCTTTGCCCATTTTTTATTGGGTTATTTGTCTCTGTTGTTTAGTTGTCAGAGTTTTAAATACGTTTGGCTATTAGATTCTTATCAAATATAGGAATTTCCAAAAATATTCTCTGTCGGTACTTCAACTTTTCACTTTTCTGGTAAAATCTATTGATGACCAAAAGTTTTTCATTTTTATGAGGTCTCATTTACTTATTTTGTCTTTTGCTGTATGTGCTTTTGTTGTTTTTTTAGATAATCCATTGTTAAAAGCCAGGTCCAACAGCATTGCCAATGCATTTTCTACTAAGAATCTAATGGTTTTAGTTTGCACATTTAAGTACATAGTTCATTTTGAGGAGCTCTGGTGCTACAGTGGTTAACAAAAATTCTGGTGGTTTAAACTCACTAGCTGCTCTGCAGAAGAAAGATGTTGTAATTTTATTTCCAAAAAGATTTGCTGCCTTCAAAACCTTATGGGACAGTTCTATTCCATCTTGTAGGGCTATTATGAGTCAGTAACAGTGGGTAATCCATTTTGCATTTGTTTTGGGTATGGTGTGAGACATACCTCATCTATCCTATGAGATCCTATCTCATTTTTCTGCATAAGGCAATCCAATTATCCCAGCACCATTTATTGAAGATACTCTTTTGTCCCTGTGAAATGGACTTAGCAGTTTGCTATAGATATTTGGGTTTCCCATGGATGTGTGGGTTTGTTTCTGGACTTTGAATTCTATGCCATTGGTCTATGTGTCTATTGCTATACCAGTACTAGGCATATGTTTTAAAATCAGTAAGTGTTAGTTCTCCTACTTTGTTCTTCTCACTCAACATTGCTTTATCTATCTGGGGCCTCTTGTCATTCCATATAAAGTTGAGAATTGCTTTTTCCATATCTGTAAAGAAAGCCGTTGGAATTTTAATCAGAATTACATTGAATCTGTAGATTGCTTTAGGTAGTAGTCTTCCATTCCATGAACATAGAACATATGAAGTCTTTTCTTATATCTTTCATCAGCATTTTATAATTTTAACTGTATAAGTCTTCCTAGGTTACATTTCTTCCTAGGTATTTTATTCTCTCAGATGTAATTGTAAATGGAATCATTTCTCTTTGAGATTTCTTATTGCTGGTATAAGAAATTCACCTAACTTTTGGTTGTTGACCTTGTACTCTGCAATTTTCCTAAATTCTTCTCTTAGCTCTAGAAAATTTCTTGTGAAAACTTTGAAAGTTTCCATATATAGAATCATGTCATACACAAATAGAGGTAATTTTGCTTCTCCTTTTCCAATCTTGTCGTGATCCCAGTTTCAAAGGGAGAGCTCTTAGTCTTTCTCCATTTAGTGTAACATTGGCTATTGACCTTGTCTTATGCCATCTATCATATTGAGGAATTTCCCTTCTGTTCCTGTCTCCTTTAGGATTTTCATGAAGAAAGTGTGTTAGATTTTATCACATTCTTTTTCTGCATCCATATGGATGGTCTTGTGGGGTTTTTTCTTTGTTCTGTTTATGTGTGGTATGTTATGTTGATTTTTCTAATGTTAAGCCATCCCTACATTTCTAAAATAAATCCCACTTGGTCATGACATATAACTCTTTTATTATGCTGCTGGATTCTGTTCATTAGTATTTTGTTGAGAATTTTTGTATCTATATTCACCCTGTAGTTTGGTTTGTTTTGCCTGTAGTTTTGTTTTGGTATCTTTATCCAACTTTGACATCCAGGTAATGCTGACTTACTAAAAAGAGTTAGGTAATACTTCTTCCTCTGTTTTTTGGAAGAGTTTGAACACGCTTGGTGTCAATTCTTCTCTAAATGGTTAATAGAATTCCCCAGTAAAGCTGGGGGTTTTTTGTTGTTGGTAGGATTTTGATCACTGATTCAACCTCTTCACTTGTAATGGGTCTTTTGAGACTATTTCTTCTGTCAGTTTGGTAGAGTCTGCTTTCACTTAAATTTTTTCTACATTTTTGTTCTCCATTCTCAGGAGAGCAGGCAGCCCCGACAGGTTGACTATAGTTAGAGATCAAATTTGCAGATCATTTAGCTGAAGGTATGCAGGCCACAGAAGTAGCTGCTGGGGAGCAGAGAGACATGATGAAGATCTCATCCTTCTATAGCCAATCCAAAGCCTTCTATGCTCTGTAGGCCAGTAACCACAGCTCTGTTATGCTATTTAAACTGGTATTTGCATTTATGGAAAGGGCATCATTCAGTCCCTTATAAGTGCATGACTCTTGTGGTAAAGTTATAATTTTGCTGAAATTGTAAACCTTGCTCTGATTGCATCCATATGTTTCAAAGTGTGGTAAATTTTGTAATTCTGGCATTTTGAGCTTTCTCCTGAGAGGTCTGAATTGATGAGAGCTATAGAGATTAAAATTTGATGTGAAAAGGAAACCCCTTCCACTCAACTGTAACATTCCTTCCAAATTTCAGCTCAAATATTGGCACATCCATGGAATCTGTCCTGAATACTAAAAAATCCATATTGATTTTTCTTGAAATGCAGCATTTAAATTCTCTACTACTCAGTTTTACACTTGAGACAGATGTTTAGTAAAGCTCAGTAACTTACAACTCTATAGTAGGATCTTCCAATGAGAAAGTAAGGAAAACTATTAAAATACCTCTAAATAACCATGCCATGTCATATATGCACTGGAAGTTTGTTGCTCATGATGTGCTAGGTTATGCCCAGTAATATGTAACTCCCAAATCTCAGTGGTGTGGCAACAGTAAAGGTGTTTTTCTCTTTCAATTTCCATGTCCCTTGTGAGTTAGCAAGGGGCTTTGCTCAGGACCCAGCCGAGGGAGCAATGTTTGTCTTGAATATTTCCAGTATTGAACAGAGAGAGCATTCAGCAGGGTCTTATATTAGCAATTAAATATTTTGCCCATGAAAATGATACTGTTGCACAAAATTCACTGTTTAACTATTCATCTCTAAATGAATAATAAATCACCAATGCCTATTTACTTTAATAAAACTATAAACTTGTGGAGCACAGAAACTCAGATCCTATATCTTCTAAATCCATCCTGCTTGTTACCTGATTTGGGCTCACAGTAGAGATTCAGTACATATTTTGACAAAGAATAGTCTCTAAATTTAAAATATTCTGTACTCAATCGTGGGCTTTTTAATGAACATTTGGGTTCCATCCTCATGATCCACTAAATTCCTTCACAAGCACCTATTTATATTTTAGGAAAATACATATATACATCTCCCAGTATTGTGCATCTTGAACACCCACTAATAACACAAGAAATCATTTCAAAATTATTTAATGTCCCCAAAGTAAGAGACAACTTATTTTAACCTTTTCTTGTGAATGGGGTGAAGGTTTACAGGCACAATCATCAGCTTCACAGTCAACAAATCATACGCTTTGTTTCATCTCATTGATGACAATTCCTTCCACGCAACAAGAGGTATCCTGCTTCCTCCCTCTGGCTCCTCTTTACATTCTACCCACTGTCCCATCCCTTCACAGTTTTGTTCTTAGGAAAATGTTGCCCTTTTTATTTTGAATGATTGACCACTCGGTGGTGAGATTACCTTACTAGTGTTGCTGTCCCCCCACTATATTCCTCTCTACTGCTTGGCTGAAAATTGGGCTAGATTGGTGACTTCTTTTCCAGACATCAAGGGTGGTTGACAGCCATAGTCTCAGGTTCTTCTACTATCTTTCTAACCACTAAACCCCTTCTTTGTTATTAATATTAAGTAATTTTGAGTTTTGTTCCACGTTTTCTCCCACTCTATCTGGGACCTTCTCATGGGATCCCTTTCAGGGCAGTTGGTAATTGTAGCCGGGAACCGTCTAATTCTTCTGGTCTCAGAGTCGTGAATATTGATGTTCACATGTTCCGTTAGTCCATTGGACTAATTGATTCCCAAGGCTCTTCAACTCTTATCACTCTTCTTTCTTCCGCACATGGAGAGACCAAGAGCTGTACCTTAGACAGCCACTCATGAGTTTTCAAGATCCCAGAAACTACTCACCCAACCACGATGTAGAACATTGTCTTTGTGGACTATGTTATGGCAATTGACCATGGAGAGGTACAACATACTTTAAATTACCCATATTTTTGTCAACATATTTGTGTATGCATCAATTCTTTCAAAATATATATATTTACCTAAAATTTAGAAAATATTAATTCCCAAACAAAAACTCAAGAACAGCTAAGGCCAATAGACCTGTTAGCTTCTATGTTGGGCATATGAATGAGTAGATAGATTAATGACTCACCCTTGTGTGTGTGCTTCTGTGATCCCACAGGAAAACACCTGTGCAAGTTGTTAAGTGCCATCTGGTCGGTTCAGACTCACGACAACCCTATATAGGGTTTCTGGGGAGCAGGTGATGGATAATGGAGACAATATAAGATGTGGCTGTTAATTGTGAGTGTGTGTATGTGTGTGTGTGGCAGGAGAGCTAACTGTAATCACCAGGGTGTGAAACTCAAGAGTATTCACTCTTTCTGCCCCCTCCCCAGGAGGCTACTATTTGACAAGTGCCTACGGAGCTCTTTCTCTGATAAAGAATTTCCAGGAAGAACAAGCTGCACGGTTGCTCAGCTCAGAGACCAGAGACACTCTGCGGCAGTGGCACAAGCGGAGAACCAGCAACCGGACCGTGCCTTCTGTAGATGACTTTCAGGTATGCAGCTGGGAGGCAGGGTTGCCCATAATGATTCTTTGTATGCCTAGAAGCCAGCGCTAGCTTGCAAAGCAAAACACAGGGCCCCCATTTTCCCCCTTGTTCAGTCATCCAGCGGAAATCGGCTATTTTAAATCATTCTCTGACCTTATTGTTTCACTTCTCTGTTTTGTTTTAAAAATGGGTTTGTCCCAAGTTTTACTGCACTTCAAAAACAAAGTTAAATTAAGGCAGAATTTCTCCCAGAAGGTCTAGTATGGATGGTAATCACTTGGGCAGGGAGGAAGTCACCAGGACAAAAGCAGCAGTTGGCATTGGGTATTTTATTACATTAAGAGATACCATGTATGAAGGAAACTGATCGAGTGGAGACTGCTGCCATCCTCCTTGGCTCTTTGAGAAGAGGGAGAGATGCAAGGATGACTTCCCCTCTCTCCTTCCCTTTTCTCTCCCCCAACCCCAAGCAAGACAGACACCACAGAATTTCAGTGCAGAGGTCAGGTCTAGGAATTTGAATGGGAGCCAAGTCTAATATAGGTCCCCAGGTTGGAAATGTTTATGACCAAACCATGAGCTGGTAACCAGGAATGTGTAATTCCCAAAGAGATGGTTTCTTAGAATTGGTAGGTTAGGGTAATAGAGGTCTTTATCAAACTCAGCAAATCCTGTTTGTCCATAGGCTATAAAATTATGTCTGTGCATGTCTTCAGATGTTGTGAAGGTTTTAGATCTGTGTGTGCCACAAATGTGGTAGCCTGTCTCCATATCAAATCTACCTGCCTCTTTTTGCCTTAACAATGCTCTGAAAATAGTCAAAATGTATATTCAGTTCAAAACCAGTGTATTTGTAGATGGCAAGATCAGCAAATTCTTCACCAAGACTGTCACATTCTTAGAAAATTTCTTTCCAGGCACATATATCCAAAAAGCAAGAAAATCTACAGTGTGCCCTTCTCCATCCACACCATCTTAGTGTAAGATCAGTACTGAGTTTAGAGATTTAGCAACACAGACTCTTGGAGGAAGATGATTATCTGAGGAGTGGGCTCCTGAGGCCATAGACTCTTTGGCGGAAGCCAAGAGGAAATGAAAACCACTCATGCTTTCATCGCCCTGCTTTCCACCTGGAGCTCAGAAAGCACAGAAGCAGTTACCCTGCTTCATCCCCTCATTGACCTTGACCATCGTGGAGATGTACACCTCTTAGAATAGACACAAAAAAGGGGAGTTTTCTGCACTCTATTTGGGTATAAAAAGACAAAGTTACATTTGGGACTCTTAAATCAGGGGTCACAGACAGTGATGTGTCCTCACATTGGAAGAGGCAGCAGGCCATAGTGGCAGAGACAGTAAATTATGGCTCTGCCACCCACTGGCCGTGTGATCTTTAACAAGTTGCTTAACCTCTCTTAGCCTCCATTTCTTCACTGGTTAAACAGGGATATTGTATCCTTTGTTCTCAGAGTTCTCATCAGTATTGAATAAATAAATACATGCAAAGGGCATAGGACCCAGCATAAGAGAAAGAGAGGGGTAAAAAGATAAAATGGAGAATAGCCACATCAAAGTATTCCAACTCAAGAACTTCAGAGTCTGTGTCCCTCCCTGTCACTCACCTTTCTGCAAATGTCTTCAGTAGAGCATGAGGCATAGCTCACATGTTCAGAATGCACCATCCTTCCCCACGAGTTTTCCCTTCTGTCATCCTAGTAGATCCCAGAGAATAACTCTTCCCTCATTCCTGAGGTGGGTGCCAGAATAATTTTTAATAAAAAATTTCTGGAGTCACAATTTCTGGAGAGGATAAGTTTAGAATCTTTGAGCCTAGTCTAGGATGTGCATACGTGTATGTGCGTGTATCCATGTGAGAGATTGCCAGCTCGTTCTGTTTCACAATAGAACACACCCAGCACTTTTCATAGTGCCCAGCCTGCAAACATCTCCTTTTATTTCCCAGCAATGCCACTTTGCACATAACCAGCTTCACATGCACAGTCATTGGGCTGAATCAATACCCTCCTCTGGATTTTTCCCCTATGCCACCCAGTATCTGACTGAACCGCATGATGCTGCCACTTGGAGAGGTCAAAATGGTCAGTTATCAAGTGGTTCAAGCTCACATTATTGTCCTTGCTTAGGTTCCATATGAAAGTGTGCCAAATGGAAGTACAGTACATGCTGTTGTGTTTCTTAACCCATCTTTGTGATCAGAACCGGAGCTGAATGGACTTCTTGCTTTTCATAGTTACAATAAATTCACATGTGTCAAATCAGACCATATAATTGTCCTCCCCACTGACCAAATTAAGATCAGCCCCTTTTCCTTGTAATTTGAGCCCTCAGGACTTCAAGTTGATGGCATGGTGAGCCCGGACTGCAAGGAGGCGCAGAGGTTAAACCTATTAGGGCATCTCAGCATGCCATTACCAGTCCCTCTGGGTATTTCTGAGTACCTCTTCTGAATTGTTGTTGTAGTTAAGTGCTGTCGAGTTGGTTCCAACCGATAGCAACCCTATATAGGGTTTCCGAGGAGAAGCTGGTGAGCTTGAACTGCCAACCTTGCAGTTCAAACGGCTTTGTAGTCTGGCGCATTAACCTGCAGCGCCATACCAGGACTTCTGAATGTAGGCTCTGACATTTCTTTTTCCACTCTGCAGAATTATCTCCGAGTTGCATTCCAGGAGGTCAGCAGTGGCTGCACAGGGAAGACTCTCTTGGTGAGACCTTATATCACTACTGAGGATGTGTGTCAGATCTGTGCCGAGAAGTTCAAGGTGGGGGACCCTGAGGAGTACAGCCTCTTTCTCTTTGTTGACGAAACTTGGCAACAGCTGGCAGAGGACACATACCCTCAAAAAATCAAAGCTGAGCTGCACAGCCGACCACAGCCACACATCTTCCACTTCGTCTATAAGCGCATCAAGAACGACCCTTACGGTGTCATCTTCCAGAATGGTGAGGAAGACCTTACCACCTAGAACACATGAGGGACTTCCCAGCAATGCAGCCAAAGGGAGTGAGGAGTGTTACTTTCTGACTTCCACGTGCTTGAACTTGAAAAGCGATCTCTCCATTGGTGACTGTGTGGTTCAGTGATTTGCCATGCAAGGACAACCTAGGCCAAAAGCATCTTTAGGCACATTGCCCCAGCAAAGTAGCTGAGGCTCAAGAAGTAGTAAAATTCTCCCGCTGTGATCGAGAATTCCATTCGATGGCTCACATTTTTTCTGAGATCGTCTGCTACCTACTCCCAGCCAGGTTCTGTGTTGCCTTAGCTGTATGTATATGTGCTGAATAAACGTTGTAAGGTACAAGCTCTCCTCTTGGCCTCACCAGTAGGTGTTTGACAAGACTGTCTGATGCAGAGCATCAGGTACTTTTCTCAACTCTATGGAAGCCTACATCCTTTTTTATTTTTACAAAGAACCTTTTTGTTTTTATATATTTCATGGAAATGTTTATAACAGTTGCAGGTTAACTGTCAGGATTGGTTTTTAAGATATTTTTATAAATTTTAAATGTGCTATAATTATGCATGTGATTTTAACATTTAATATTCGAGATAAATCTCTTGCTGGATTTGAGAGTATTACATTTGAAAAGTCTCTCTTCTGTAACTGGATGTTTTTGTAACTCTATGGGAAGAGGCTGCTGGGTTTCCTAGAACAATGTATTATTGACACTGGCAGAGGATGCCTTCATAAATCCGATGTACTGTTATCTTGTTCATGTGCCGTGATGGTGGGCTTTTCTGTTTTATTAAACTAATGACACTGAAAAATGAGGAAAGAAATGAATGTAGATAGAGTTGGAGAGAGAATAAACAGACTCTTAAAAAGGACTAAGGAGTGTGGTCTGCTGGTTCCGGTTCTTTGGAGGAAGTAGGAAAGGGTATAGAAGAAACTACATATGCTTCAGATTCCTTGTGAAATGCCTTGGAGTCGGTTCCAACTCATAAGGACCCTGTATAGACTTTCTGAGGCTTTTTAAATCTTGGCAAGAACAGAGCAGCTGGTGTGCTCAAAAGATGGACTTTATGGTCTGCAGTCCAGTGCTTATCGTATGGAGCCCTGTGCTCCCAATACTTCAAATATGTACTGTAAATATGCAATAAGATTTTGCAAGATCTGTCCCATGTGTTATTTACTTTTAGGAAAACAATTGAAAATCCCATGTGGAAAAAAAGGCAGTGGTAACACTTTTTTTTTACCTCCCACATAAATCCAAACTAACAGCATCAAATTGTTGGGGCAGAAACCAAATAGTGTATGATGTAGCTTTCAATGAGTTAAATAAGATGCTATTTGGGAAAGAGTTTGTGAAAGCAACAAGAAGTCCATCTGCCTAACAGGAATGTATGGAGAAGTTAAATTTGCATGTTATATGAGGTCTGCTGTGGGTACACAGACTGTGAGGGTCTTGTAGCCAAGTAACACAGGTAGTTACCAAACCATGTTGTACTATGTCAAGATGTGTCATCATGTACTTTGGTTGGCTTTGTACCTTGTACCATTTTTAGCCTTGACTTTACTGTGTACATCTAGAACCCTCAGTGCATACCATGTGTACTTTTGTAAATGATTTTTTCAATGGAACTTTGCACACAATACTTTGTAATATTGTATGATAATCATGTGTCAAAATAATTTTTCAACTATTGCTGGGTTGTCTTCTTTCTTTTCGAATCCAAATATAGTCCACCACCACACAATGAGATGGACATCTTAAATCTCAGCCAGTGTCTGTGGTTAGAAAATCTATAGAAAGTGAACAGAAAAGTCCATTCTCTTTGGAAGCTTGTGCACCAAGAATGGGGCAAAAAAATAAAGAGCAGCAGCAGATCATCTTCTGACTTAAAAAGGATTACCACCTGGAGCAAATCACAGCTGATCTGAACACAAGATTAGCTGTGGCCCTGCAGACATCAATTCCCCCACCCCTCCATTCTGATGCAACCCCATGCAGTACCCTGCCTGAGAGGTCAGAGCTTTATTAAAATCAGCAAAAGGCATCACTCACTGGAGACACTGAAACCCAGGATAATATGTCCATATTTAAAACTAAGGCCTTGCTCTTGCCATTGTCACATAATAGTTCTGGAGGAAATGGCAAGAGAGAACACTGTTAGGAATCTCTGGTGGCTCACACTTTGGGAATCAAAGTTTTGGACAGCCACTCCCTGCCCTGAGAGCCCATTATCCACTTGACACCAATGTCCTGGAGGATACTCTGGATCGCAGCCCACATTCTGAATGCTTTGGTCACAAACAGAGGTTGGTGTGTGCTTTTCCTTGGCAATTGTAATGGCAGCCTCCCAAACTAAATCCCACTGCCATCAAGTCTATTCGGACTCATAGCAACCCCGTATAGCGTTTCCATGGCTGCAAATCTTTACAGAAGAAGGCAGCCTTCTTTTTCCCCTGCAGAGCTGATGGTGGGTTTGAACTACTGACATTGTGGTTAGCAGTTCAGTTCTTACCCTACAGCATAGTCTACAAAGACATGAAACTGGGATACCCCTTAAAAAAAAAAAAGACCATCACATTGCAAAGTAATAATGGAAGAAGTTAGAGGTAGTTTAGTACCTAACAGATATTTTCCCCTTCTACTGCAATCAGATTAGGAGCTCTGGTAGCATAGTGGTTACAAACAGGGCTGTGAACCGCAAGGTTAGCAGTTCGAAACTACCAGCTGTTCCGCGGGAGAAAGATGAGGCTTTCTGCTCCCATAAAGATTTACAGCCTCGGAAACCCTGTACAGGGTCGCTATGAGTCAGAACCGACTCCACGGCACATAACAAAAACAAAAACCGCAATCAGATTAAAAACATCACAAGAAGGAAATAAGAAAGAAACATGGACATCTTTCTGAATGAACAGATCCTCTCAGATGAATCACCCTATAGAACACTTTCCTTTAGAATTGGGGGGAAAAGTGATAGCATCTTAAATGTCTCAGCTTAAGGGACTATGATACTCCCATTCAATGAAGAATTGGACTGTCACTAAAATTTGATGGCTGCTGAGGTGAATGTAATAACATGAACAAATGCTGAAAATGTAATAAAAGCACATGTAAAATTAGAAGTCAATAGAGAATAGAAACTAACTTCTCTGCCATATTCCTGGTGCCTGTAAGCATGCCTGGTGCATAGTAAGTGCTCAGCTAAGTGCATGTTGACTGAATGAAGGAAAACATAAGTTCATGAAGCCTTTCCAACCCATCATTAAGATGGATAAAGATCAGAACAAGGGATCAATGGACTGTCTGCTTTTTCTCTTTACAATTAAAAAACAACAATTAAAAGATCAATCCATACAGTTGCCCTCCCCTGTCTCCAAACTAAGATTCTTACAGTTCCCCTTGTACTTGGTAATCGACACATTCTTGATTTAAAGCAGGTCAGAATATCTCAGAGTGAGGCAGCATGTGGAATGAGAGCTAGATCAGAATAAGAAAAGTTCACTGAGCACAGAAAACATCACAAGACAGCCCCTAAGCCTGCCATCGGGCAATGTGTCCCTGTTAAAATTACAACACATGTGTCTTCACTTTTTCCCCCCACGCAGACATTTCTCACTTCTCAAATTGCCAGGAAACAGACTTCGGGAAGTTTGGAAGAACTAGGAGGAGAGTAAAAATATACATACTGAGTGGAGAGGGAGGAGAATGCATTTCCAAATCTAAAAATATGATACAAAAGTTGAATGCTGGCCAGAGGAAGGGATTTTTTTCAGAGCTGTGCACACTGCCAAGTAATCCCCCAGTCCCCCTCAGGGACACAGAATGAAAATAGAAAGTGTTCCAGTTCATGTAGAAGTCACACTTCAGATCTATAAGAAAACAAGACAGACAGGAAGCCCAGCCATACATGCTTTCATTCACAAGTGCCTCCACCTGACATCCACATACTAGCACTGCTGGGTACTCTAGAAATCTGAGAGTAACTCAGGAAGGGCTCTGAAGAGGACCCCACCTGGGACGTGGGTAATTTAACTGTCCATCAGTATCATAGTAAATTCCTAACTAGAATCATTTTTCAGACCAGTTTCATGATGGTAAATTTGAAACCTAAAATGTTGTCATTTAGTTAACTCTAATCAACTGGTGTGGTGCTGTTGGTTAAGCACTGGACCACAAGGTCGATTTTAATTGCAAGGTCAAACTCACCTTGGAAACTCTATACAGGGTCGCTATGAGTTGGAATCGACTTGACAGCACTCAACTATCAACTGGTATGGTGCTATAGGATAAGAACTAGACCACAAGGTCAGTTTGAATTGCAAGTTCAAACTCACCAACCACTCCCGAGAAACTATATACAGGGTCACTATAAATCAGACAGACTGAATGGCACTTAATAACAACTATCAACTTGTAGCGTAGTGGTTACGAATCAAGCTGCGAATCGCAAGGTCAGCAGTTCGAAACTACCATGTTCCGTAGGAGAAAGATAATGCTTTCTGCTCCCGTAAAGATTTACAGCCTAGAAAACTCTGTACAGGGTCACTATGAGTCGGAACCGACTCCACGGCACATTACCATCACCACCACCACCACCATCAACTTGGAAGGATGCTTTGCATCACAGTAGCTTAAGGGCTTGGTTGCTATCCACTAGTTCAGCGGTTTGACTCCACCAGCCACTCCGTGGGCAAAGGCTTCCGCAGTCGGCTTCTGTAAAAACTGCAGCCTTGGAAACCCTGTGAGGCAGTTCTACTCAGTCCTAGAGAGTCTATGAGTTGGACTCAACTCACTGGCAATGGATTGGATTTTAGTTTGGTTTTGGTAATCAACTTAGAAATATGAGAGAATCCATTTAACATTGCAAAGTTATAAGCAAATGATAAAGACAGAAGAAAAGAAGGAAGAGGAAAAGGGAAGGAGGAAGAAAATATCTGGTTTCAAGAAACAAGTTATTTGAAGAAAATTTCTTTTTCTCCAACATCAGGATAGGTGGTATTTGACATAAACTTTT